CACACACACACACACACACACACACACACACACACACACACACACACACACACACACACACACACACATGTAGCAGGAGCGGCGGCAGGAGGAGGACCAGGCGCGGGAGGAGCAGCAGGAGGGGGAGCGGCAGAAGGGCGATCCATCGTATGTTGTTGTTAAGCGGTGTGTGTGTGTGTGTGTGTGTGTGAGAGAGAGAGAGAGAGAGAGAGAGAGAGAGGACAGCCGCGAAGACTGTCGCGGGTGAGGGCGCAGCCCACGGGACAAGCGGGAGGAGGAAGGGGGGAAGAGCAAGAGGAGCAGCGGGAGGAGGAGGAGGAAGAGTTGTCAGGGCAGGGAGTTCACAATCGGGGGAAGTAGAGGTTGGGATGGAGAAATGGAATCGGAGAGGGAAGTCGGGATCGGGGGAAGGTGGGATCAATGGGGCGAAGTAGGGGGAAGGAAGCTGAGACGGGGAGGGAAGTTGTCGGACGGAGATCGGGAGAGGGAGGTAGGAGGAGGGAGTCGGGATTGGGGGAGAGAGGTGGGGATCGGTGGAGGGAAGGCGGGATTGGGAGAGAGGTGGGGACTGGCGGAGGAAAGTCGGGATTGGGGACATAGGTGGATATCGAAGGAGGGAAGTGGGGGGAGGGATGCTGGGATGCGGAAGGAAATCGACGAAGGGAGCTCGGGGAAGGGAGCTCGGAGGAGGGAGGTCGGCGGAGGGGGATCGGAGTAGGGACGTTGGAATAGGGACGTCAGACTAGGGACGTCGGGGGAGGCAGGGGAGTCGGGATGGGAAGGGAAGTCGTGGGAGGGAGGTCAATGCAGGGTGGGAAGTCGGTATGGGAAGGGGGGTCAGTCCACGGAGGGAAGTCGGGATAGGAAGGGGGGTCGGGGGAGGGGAGTCGGGGAATGGAGGTCGGCCACTCGGCGGAGGGAAGTCGGGGCAGGGAACTCGGACGACAGCCGCGAAGACTGCCGGCGGGTGAGGGCACGGCCTGCGGGACAAGCGGGAGGAGGAAGGGGGGAAGAGCAGGAGGAGCAGCGGGAGGAGGAGGAGAAGAGCTGTCAGGGCAGGGAGGTCGCAATCGGGGGAAGTAGAGGTTGGGATGGAGAAATGGGATCAGAGAGGGAAGTCGGGATCGGGGGACAGAGGTGGGGATCGATGAGGGGAAGTGGCGAGAAGGAAGCCGGGATGGGGAGGGAAGTTGCCGGACGGAGGTCGGGGGAGGGAGGTCCGAGGAGGGAGTCGGGATCGGGGGAGAGAAATGGGGATCGGTGGAGGGAAGCCGGGATCGGGGAAGAGGTGGGGACTGATGGAGGAAAGTCGGGATTGGGGACAGAGGTGGATATCGATGGAGGAAGTAGGGGGAGGGATGCTGGGATGTGGAAGGAAGTCAACAAACGGAGCTCGGGGGAGGCAGGTCTGCGGAGGGGGATTGGAGTAGGGACGTTGGAATAGGGACGTCGGAGTAGGGACGTCGGGGGAGGCAAGGGAGTCGGGATGGGAAGGGAAGTCGCGGGAGGGAGGGAGGTGCAGGGTGGGAAGTCGGGATGGGAAGGGGGGTCAGTCCACGGAGGGAAGTCAGGATGGGAAGGGGGTTGGGGGAGGGCAGTCGGGGAATGGAGGTCAGCCACTAGGCGGAGGGAAATCGGGCAGCAGCAGGTACGGGTACATTGCAAAGATGGAGTCCAGCTGATGGCTGGGGTGTTTCGCAAAATGTTTTTGTCGTCATCCTACGCTGCGGCGGGTCCACTTGTAATAATAATAATTGCAAGGCAGTCTGCCAACTGCCTACGGGTCGGCCCGACTGGTAGGCGCCGGCGGTAGGCGCTAAAACTACCCCGGTGCACACACACACACACACACACACACACACACACACACACACACACACACACACAGGTGAAAGTCCAACAAAACAGTCTGGCACAGTCATACTTTTCTTTGTCGAGTTGTGTATAGCGAACATGATAACACACACACACACACACACACACGCACACACACACACACAACTCATCGAACCTGGTGTCTCAGCTGAGTCAGCTCGATGCACACAAGCTGCAAACGTCGATGAAAGCGAAACAGCTCGAATGAACCCTCCCTGAACATTCCAAAAGATGCCATTACCATTACCATGCCTCTCGTGGACCGCTTCTGCGTCGCTCACCACACTAATCCTCGGGCGCGCTGCCCTAGAGATCTGAAATAAACGCCGCCGGGATCTGCGATAACCGCCGCCACGGCTAGCACTACCGTCTTCACCCAAATAGAATGCCCGCTCATTATCACCACATCTGGACTGAAAGTTGCAACAAATACGGCTATAATGACAGGAGATTCTATACGGTACCTCAAGCCATCTTCAGCACGGAGTGCTCGACAAGTTTCAAAATAGGACTCGCTTAGTCTAGCTACCTTTATCCTACGATTATCGCCTTTAGATCGATCGCCTATTCTGCTTCCTCCTAATGGACCCAGTACTTCCCTCTTATCTTTTCCCCAGTCCCGTCACTCTCTCACTGGTCCCCTTTTCCCTTTTTCCCAGTCCACGTTCGGACCAAATTCACCCACAATGCTTAACCAGGCAATACGCTCCTAGAGTTCCGTTGCCTGATTCCGCAGTTTTCTCCGGAGAAACAAACTCAGTTACTAACTTGGTAAAAAAATACCCTTCACAAAATTTTAAAACACCCCTTCTGCTAAGGTCAATTTAGCAAGAGGGGCAAAAACAAAAAAACATTAAAAAAAAACAACACACACGCACACACACACGCCAGTGATCAAGCCCTAAAACCAACCAAACCATTTTATTTTTTTATTTTTTTTTTTCTTACTAAGCGCTTTATGGAAGTTTCTTCTTCACACATATGCCTCACACTACCTTTCCGTCTTATCTACGTCCAGTTTCAATTCCGAATTTTAAACTTTCGCATTTTTGCAGTTATGGGTTGTGGAATCCCAGCCTTCCTCCACAACTCTGCTCTATACCAGTGAGCGGTACCCCAGTACCCCAGCACCTAACACCTGGCACAAGCATATAATAATAACAGTGACACACAATGGCCAAGTTGCTCTCATACACACAAAAAATATACATTCTTTATTAGGAACAGCGTCTTAGTAGACTCTTTACACTTGCTCAAGTTAGCGGATCATCCTCCCTGTGGCGCCCGAAGCAGAGTTTTGCGACTACGGCATCCTATCTCTGCTCGGTGAGGGGAGCAGTAATCGTGGCTCCTAGCACCGGGCACGAGCAGGGAAGCAGCCCAAAACTTGCACAACCAGACAGGAGGCCGAAGCCAAAAATCTATGGTGGTGAACCCGCGAAGCATATAGCAACAAAAGGCCGCAGGGAGCGAAAGGAAGACGTGGGGTATGGAAACCACGACCTCCTGAGTGCCACTTACGTGCTCAACCAACTGAGCTAGCCCACAACTCCCAATATATCCCAACTCCACTCATGCTACAAAAACAAACCTGGGGGCTAGGACCCACTAGCCAAGTATTACCATGCGGTTTTCGATCATGTGTGGCCGCCAGCGACCCTTCTTGGCCGTCGATGGTGTGGGATCTGGATGGCCGAAATGATTTTGAGTGCGATCACTTTTGATGTCGCCTTTCCCTCCAATCCGCAGCAAAGAAAAGAATAAGTTGTCGTTTTCCTTCGTGTGTTTGCAGTGGCGGGAAGTTGCATTTTCAAGGATTTGAAAGGGGGGGGGGGGGGGTGACTTGGTTACAGTGTTTTCTTCGTTTTAAAAATCATGAAAAGAAATAAAAGGAGACACTTAGGTCCTCTTCGTGTTTCGTTTCAGGGATGCTGACAGCAAGTCTACCCATGCTCAATGGAAGGGAACATGGTAAGGCCCTCCCACTCCGCTTTCGTTTTGGGTCTCGTTCGCAAGCAAGGTTCACAATTGGCAAACTGTTCGCAGTCAGGATTTTGGGCACAGTACATGCCTTCAAACAAGCCCGTGATGCACGGGTGCACAGCCTGTACTATCCCCCGTCCTTGTCTACTGGTAGCACTTTCTTTTTGTTTTAAACTTCAAACGTGACTTCCTTGTATTTTTTAAATCCGGAAAATATTTTTCCTTCTCATTTAAAAGCACAAAAAAGCATCACACATTGTATAATACTTTGCTAGTGGGATGAGGCCCCTGGACAGGGGTTTGGCAAAAAAAAACGAAAATAAGATTAAAAATAAAAAAATCACAGTTACCTACTCAACGGGAGGGTGTGAGTGGGTGTGAGAGGGAGGGTGTTGAAAGATCGATGCTGCAAACAAACACAGTAGTCCCCTTTGTTTTCTTCTTTTCTTTTGCTCTTTTTTCTTTTTTTTTTTGGCATACAGATATCCTTGCACATTTAAGGAATTCAGCTAGGCTACCAGCCGGGCCGCCCAGGTCACCCTATTTTCCCGGGCGGCCCGGCCGTGTAAGGACTAGGGAAGGTCCCAGCCAAAAAAAAAAAAAAAAAAAAAAAAATCCGAAAAAAAAAACTATGTTATGCAGAAACATAAACTGAACAACTTTTGCCTCAGGGTCACATCGAAATTCTTTACCGAATTTAAAATAAGAAAATTAATTAAAGAAATGATTTTTCTTTTTTTTATTTTTTTTTTTCTTTTTGGCCCGGCCAGGCAAGTTGACCCGGGCCATTCTGGTAGCCTGGGAATTCAGTAAAAAAAGGGGAAAAAAAAAAAAAAAAAAAAAAAGAAGAATTTACCTGTCATCTTCAAAGGTGATTGTGTAGCTATCACTCCGAACACGTGGCAATTGCCCATTCCACCGCGGTTGATGGCCCGTGCGAAGTGACTCAACCGCCTTCTGATATTTACACCTGTCATTCACCGATACGTCAGCAAAAAGTTAAAAAGAAAAAAAAGAAGAAAACAGGAACAAGAATCGGATAGGCATCTGGTCAGCATTGACAGAAACATGCATGGTTACTGACCAGATCCCTATCCAATCAGTACGATGCATGTTTCTGTCAATGCTGACCAGATCCTTTACCCCATACAAAGATTGGACTTCCAGTAAGATAAGAGCACAACATGGAAAAAGAAACAAGTTGCCTACAGCAAAAGCATGATAAACGCACCTTCCGGGACCGCCTTTTCGCTAAAACACCCAAACAACTCTCTCTCTCTCTCTCTCTCTCTCTCTCTCTCTCTCTCTCTCTCTCTCTCTCTCTCTCTCTCTCTCTCTC